TGGTGGGACCCACGCTGCCTGGATACCCACCCCACATCCCCACCAGCGGACAGGGCAGCTATGCCTCTTCTGCCATTGCAGGCATGGTGGCAGGTAAGGGAGAGGCTGGCTGGAGGGGACTATTGTAAGAGGAAGTGTCAGCTAAAGGTGGAGCGAGAGGGAACAAGAAGAAGGGGTGTCCCATGCATAGACTTCTGGAAGGACACTGGAGGGTAGACGGGAAGGTCCACCCTTATAATCACCTGGAAAAGAGATTCTAGTGCAGTCCCAGCCACTTAACTGTCCCTAACTTGGCCTCCTTCTTCTCAGATGCTCCCATATCACCTGCCATGGTGACAAAGGGGCAGCTGAGGCAGACAGCTAGTCAAATCCAAGCTCTACCCCTTCCACTCATTCCAGGAGCCCCAATGAAGTGTGCTTGGGGCTGCAAAACTCTAGGGGCCAAACATAGCCCAGCCTGTAAGCAACCTGTGGTCACCCAGTTACTTAACGCTGGTGACTCTTGGTTCACCTTTCTGTAATCTTTGAATATGGATGGTGTTGGAGATGGTGAAACAGCCCCCTTCACATCCCACACTCATGGACCCTGTGTGGGCAGAGTCCATTGCAGCTACTCCAGAGGTACTGCAGAGTGTGACATGAACTGGGAGCATTGCTTCATACTCATCCAGGCTATCCTGCAGTCTTGCCTGTCAGTCATTCGGTTTCTTTGTCCACCAGCATGGTCATCACCCAACGGTGACCCATGGTGTCAAGGTCTGGACAAGCAAGGAGGACAAGGAAGTTTTCTTGGAGCGAGTGTCTCTCTTAGGAACCACACAAGAAGGGTGGACAGGGTAGAATCAAGCCATTTCCACCGCCCAGAAGGCCCGAGGACCTGGAGCTTCTAGAAGGGGCTCTGGATCCGGGCATCGGTGACTCCCATACCAGCCCTGGGCCAGCCTCCCAGGCCTGATCCCAGAGACAGTGCCATCACCCAGGCCTGGTCCCTGTCCCACCCCCCACCCTGGACTGTCTCTGCCAGCCACCCACGCTGGTGCCCTGTGCGAGGGGGGCGGGGCTCCTGGGCAAAGGGAAGGGAGGGCTTGGAGGGCTCTGCGCTCCCTGGGAACCTGCTGAGCTGGCACTTGTTGCTGCCTGGTTACCGTGGCAATGTGCTTAATGCAGCGTTGAAAATACAGAATACTGACTCCTCTCTCTCCCTCCTGGCCCCACTCTCTGCCTCCCTCCCTTCCTCTCCTGGAGCGTGAAATGAGATTGGTCAAGATAAAAAAGGAAAAGATTCGGTTATTTTTTTAAGAGTGTGGATAATGGGGCCTCTCAATCAAAATCCCAGGCTCCAGTCAGCTCCCCCATCCCCCTTCCAACCTCTCCACCTTTCCTTGCTGCCTGCTTAGAGGGGAGGAAGAAACATAAAGCCCAGCTCCTCTCTTAATTATGTCCCTCACTTGCTTGAACCCTGTGTCTAGGTACCTGGATCCATCTGTAGAATTCCAGCAGGGTCTTCTCTGTTTGGTCCAGCACCAGTCATAGCTGGACATTATCCTGACATTCAAACAAAATGTTCATGTTGATCAACAAAGTCACCCTGTTTCAAATAATGAACCCTGATGACTCATTTTAAACAGGATTTATTCTGTAAGGACTCCCGCAACATGTAATAATTTATAGGATGTGTCCACAGCACTAGGCGGTGTCCACCTATAGTAGGCAGCCCTGGCTCAGGACCACACTGGTGACACCGCAGCGCTAGGGATGAGATAGTAACAGTGATAAAGTACACGAGGCTACTTCTTTTCACGTTCTGTGTGTTCAGAGGCCAAGGCTTGGGGCACGTGGGTGGCTGGCCTATGGCCGCTTGGAAATGATCCTAGAAGCAGGATGAGAGCCCCGGGATCCCAGGGGCAGAAGTCCAGCAAGCCTCCCCACCTGCTGACCCCTTGTGCTTGGCCCCCAGTGCCCATCCCAATCTGCGTCCTGTCTTTACTTGCTGCCTGGCCTGGCTAGTCCAGTACCTTTGTTCCTGCTGTAACACGAGTGCTCTGAAACATGCTAGCATGTGCTCACAGCGTTTGTGGAAGAGCAGCTATGTTAGGGGACTCCCCAGAAAGAGAGGCAAGGAGAACTTAGCCACTGGTATTGATGACTTACAGGGTTCCATGGGACGTGCCTTCCCCTTCATCACGGCCAGGCACCCCCCAAAGGGGCCAAGGGAGGAAGGTCCACACAAGGGCTGGTGGGAGGAAAGTTGGATCCCAATGGGGTCCAACAAGGGAATACATTTGAGAAT